GTCACAACTGGCATTAGGCTAATACCCCTGCGGTTCGCACAGTCTGTGCGACTGCCCTTCTTGTATATTGCCACTATAATCGATTCGCTCCAATTAGCCGGCACACTCTTCGTTCCAGATACGTTCGAATAGGGAGGTCAGTGCCCTGCAGAGGACCTCCCCTCCATCCTTACGTAGTGCAGGTGGAAGGGAATCCGGGCCAGCGGCACGAAAACGATTGAGGGCTGTGATCGCGTTTCGGACCTCGGCCTCCGACGGAGGCTCTAAACTAACCGTCCATGGCACGTCCTGCATCACCTGAGCAGGAGAAGGTCCGGGAGCAGGGGGACAGCTGAACTGATCTTGAAAGGGTTCAGCCCAACGAGCCATACGGCGCTCCTTATTGTGTATCAGCGCACCCGCACTGTCCCTGATTGTCTCACTGACGCCTGGTTTTCTGGGATCAGTGGTGCGGATTGGCTGGAAGAGCTTTCGGTAATTGCCTACTGCTACTGCCTCCTCCATTTCTTGAGCCCGACTGGTCCACCAGGCTTCCTTGTCAGCACGTAGGCTCCGCTTTAGTTCACGCCTAATAGCCCGTCTGGTCACATTGTGTTCAGAACCAGCCGGGAGATGTCTTCTAGCTTCCAACAGGTTCACGGACCTCTCGGATATCCAGTGACTGGTGCGGTGACGACTGATAGTGCCACAAACAGATGCTCCTGCGTCGTGCATAGCGGCCGAGATCCTATTCCACTGAAGTTCAGTGTCATTGGACAAGACAGCGAGAGTTCGCTATGCAGTGCTTCTTGACAGGCTTGCCTGACAGAGGGCTGGAACAATTTATCCGTTGCCAATCGGGGAGGACGCTTTGTGCGCCTTCTGGTAAAGTGCAAGGTGAAACGACAGCGTCTCAAGTCATGAACAGAGTCGACACAGGTACTCCAGTACGAGGGGCAATCCAGGATGGAACCACGCTATCTGTAACTTATGGCTATGTGGTCAATTTGGGTCCATCGCTGGCCAGCTACAGGTGGACGCCAAGTGGCACTTCGGCGCCCACTGTGTCTAAAAGCAGTGTTACTAAGAAACAACTGGTGCTCCGCACACAGTTGCAGCAGACGCTCGCCGTTGTCAGTCCGTTCGGCGTTAAGTCCATACTTACCACCCAGCTGAGCTTCTGAAGAGCTCAGACGCCCTACTTGTGCGTTCGTATCCCCTGCAAGTACTATAATATCTGAACTAGTAGCACTGCGTAGCAGCGTGTTCAGTTCGTGATAGAATGTGTCCTTGACTGCATTAGAACTGCAGTCGGTGGGAGCATAAGCAGAAATCACAAACAAACAGCGTTTTGTTTTACTTCGCGAATTCACCTTAGCTGATGTCGTAAACGGGCTGCACATAAACGACTGTTCACCGGAATCCAATCAACCAACGATGACTCAGCCTTGCAGCTGAGAATGATACCTACACCAGCTTGACCCGTGAGTGCCGCATCGGCGTCTCCGGATGCGTGCAACCAATATCGAGAGGATAAGCCGGGTGCAGTCAATTCAATAACCCCGTTAGGGTCATTAATTCTAGTTTCGGACGCACAACACACATCAACACCCAGTGTATCCAAGGTGGGTGCGAGTGCAGCCTGCTGACCTGTTTGTCTTAGAGTGCGGACGTTGAATGTCGCCATGGAAACGGGACAGCGTGGCCTTATAAGGGACTTTTGCCGATAGGCGTCCGATAGGTGCTGTGGGATGGTGGCTGCAGACGGTACTACTCCAGTAGCACTTCGGTTGCTGTCAATTAAGCTGGGAATTATAGAAGGAAGGCTAGTAATACGGGCCGGGATGGGAGTAAGAAAAAAAGGTGGAAAAGAAAGAAGGGAGGCGTCAGCGGTAGCATGTTTTCACTTATCCACACCGCTGTATGCAGCAGATAAGGCGACCCTTGATAATCTGCGCGACGGCCGACGCAGGATGAAGTTTATATTTGAAGAAAATGTCATAGTTGTATGTGGGCTGGGATACTGCCAGGGCGCCCAGACCTAGACAGGAGAACGATTAGGGTCCTCATCCAAAGCCTTTGGCTCAAAAGCCTGTCCGAAAGGCAGCGGGGTGGCAGTGTTTAGTTTTACAGAAATGAACGCCATCCCATTTAAAACCCCCAACCTGGAGGACCAGGAAACTGAGTTTGTCTGACCTCTCACCATTGACCAACCTGGTAGGAGTAGCTCTCAAGATGCTCGGAGGTATCACCCAGTATAGCTCAATGGGTCATTGAGGTACGCAAACCGTCGCAGCACGTTAAGGTCCAGTCTCGTTGCGACGAGGAAATTGCGCTACTTCGCAGCAGGGTAGCAGCAATGAAGGCTTCGAAGCAGCTTGTGCCACGGTCAAATGCTGACCATGTTTTGGCTACCGTTTATTGCAGCTCGTCTGTGCCTGCACCGCGTACGGCACGTTCGGCACGAAAACGCAACATTTTCCCCACAAGTTCTCAGTCAGGTAATGTCAAACCAGTCGATGATGTGTGTTGGTATCACCGCCAATACGGTGGAAGAGTTAGACGTTGTCGGACTCCCTGCATTAGGCACGACCCAGCTGCTTCAAGGAAAACGAATAGCCCGTATACTAGCATGACAAACGTATCATTCAATAACCAAGCAAACCGATTGTTTTACGTTAAGGATCGACGATCTTCCATCACGTTTATCATCGACACGGGAGCGGAAGTCAGCGTCATCCCAGCGACCAGCCAACGACAAGCATTCAGAGCCTACGTACAATTTGCGTGTGGCCAACGGTTCTCCGATAGCTTCATTCGGTCGGCGCATGATGAACCTGGACTTCAATCTTCGCCGAGATTTGCAGTGGGTCTTCATGGTTGCGTCTGTACACTTTGCAATTATCGGTATCGACTTCCTCCGACATTTTGGGTTGCTTGTTGATGCTGGTCGCCACAGACATTTAGACGACCGTACTAAACTAGGGGTTGAAGGCGTTCTTACGGACGCCCCGATAATCAGTCCCGTTTTTTGAATCGTCGATGTACCATCAGATTATGCGAACCTACTGTCTGAATACCCGCGACTGGTAAGACCAGCTGCAGAGCTTCCGCTAGTCACGACAGAGGTCGCTCATCACATAGTCACGCGTGGTCAGCCAGTTAGCGCACGACCAAGACGGCTTGCTCCTGACAAACTACGTGCAACACGAGCTGAATTCGACCACATGCTTCAGCTCGGTATCGTCAGACCGTCCAACAGCCCATGGGCGTCGCCTCTGCACATGGTCCCGAAGAAGGTCATGGGGGACTGGCGTCCTTGCGGCGACTATCGAACCTTGAATACGGTTACCACGCCCGATCGCTATCCGATCCCACACATAGTGGATCTCACCGCCAGTCTGGCGGGTAAAATATCTTCAGCAAAATCGACTTGGTACGCGCATACAACCAAATTCCGGTAGCCGAAGCGGACATCGCTAAAACTGCCGTGACGACTCCATTTGGTTTGTTCGAGTTTCTGCGCATGCCATTTGGCCTAAAGAACGCCGCGCAAACTTTTCAGCGTTTCATCGACCAAGTTTGTCACGGTTTAGACTTCGCTTACGCGTATCTCGATGACATTTTAATCGCAAGCTCTTCACGAGAAGAGCACATACGCCACGTACGAACACTTTTCGATCGTTTATCTCAACACGGGGTGACGATCAACGCAGAAAAGTGTTCGTTTGGTGTCGACTCAGTCAACTTCCTCGGTCATCGTATCTCCTCTGCAGGCGTCGTGCCACTGCAGGATAAAATTCAAGCCATCATCGACTACCCAGAGCCTCATTCTTTCAAACAGCTCAGGCGTTTTGATGGGCTTGTCAACTTTTACCGACGGTTTATACCCAACTGCGCCTCGCTGATGCAACCCCTCACGGACCTTCTCCAAGGGAAACTCAAGAAGTTCGTATTTCCTGCCGCAGCACGCGCTGCTTTTAAGTCGCTGAAAGAGGCTATCGCCAACATAGCTTCTATAGCGCATCACGATCCGGCCGTCCCACTGTCCCTCAGTACTGACGCCTCGGACGTGGCAGTCGGCGCCGTTTTGCAGCAACGAGTAGCCGACACGTGGCAACCCTTAGCGCTCTTCTCCAAACGCCTACAACCTACCGAATCTCGCTACAGCACGTTCGGTAGAGAACTACTAGCCGTATATCTAGCGATACGTCACTTTCGACACGTCCTAGAAGGCCGCTCCTTTGTCGTCTTCACCAACCACAAAC